TAAAGACAACAGGTGGTTTGATGGACGGCCACACTCCTGAGTGGCTACATTAGGGTGCATTCAAACAGCTCCCACTACTGATGTCGATGGGAGCATCAGATCCAGCAAACACATGGATAGGCATTATCGACCCATTACCCTCTTCTCTGGATGGTTACGCTAACATCGAAAACTCTGCCATTATGTAATCAACTGTAATCAGCAGACCAATGACTCAGATAGATCATGCTACAGAGTCACTTATCCTGCAATCTAATGAAATCCGTATGCAATATAAATACCCTGTATGGGCATGTAGCACAGTTTCCAATAAACACAGCAAATAAGCACAAGATGCACTATCCACACTGGAAACTGGAGGAGTATGAAATGAATGTTAAAGTACTACTTCACATTAGCCTGTAACAAAGGCGCCCTGTGTTCAAAAATTAGCTGATGTATCCGAGGGAAATCCATTCCACTAAAAGGTTTCCCTGGTGAGAGCTCAGGAACTGGGAACCACAACTGGTAAAACAGTTCCTCAGAACAACCAACAAACCTGACGATGCTTGTAACCGCGTACCAACCTACCCTGATGCAAAGCATTGTATTGACCTACACTTTTGTCGTGCATTCTGCAACAATCCATCAATCTATTACATCACAATGCATGGAAGCCTGTGAGTGTCAACACAGACCTCTCCCCTGATTCATCTCCATGGCAACCCCACCCTGGGTGACAATAAAATTGAGCAGTTGTGACCATGGTAGTTGTATAAATGATGAATTGCTGAGGTAACTCAGATGTAGCATGGGCCAGGTGTGCTACTACACTGAATAAATTAATACAAAAACAATGCACAAAATAAAATGTTCCTAATCAAATCTCCAGTGGATGCATTATGCTCCATTCATCAAAAATTTAATTTATAATACCTCTTTCTGAAAGATCGTTTTAAAGCTAAATAAGTTGAATGTTTAGGAATCTAAGGAGCTGAAGTTTTTCAAAACAGTATAACAGTGTAAAGAGTTTAATATACTCGTATGTATACAGCTATCATCTCAGTAAAACTAAATGTATGCTGTAGCTATTAATAGTTAGTATACAGACAGCTAGAGGCTTGATGAACTTCACCAGGATTCCTTCAGCAGAAAACAAGCCAAATCCCTATTTGTGTTGCCTTAATGAAGCTTTAGGTTGCCACTCTTGAGCACTGAGATGGTTCGGTCCAAAGTACAGGTCATACCAAGCACAGGTAGCAACATAAATAAAGACCAGTGCCGTAGCAGACACATGTGGTACTCACACTCATCAGTTTCTAAAGCTCGTCATTAATGAGTCTATTCACTGAAGAGAGAGAACGCCAGCTTCGTAAATTGGTTTGCCCTCCACAATTAGATAAGATTCTCTGGCAAGAGAACTAAAAAATGTGCAATTTTTGTGTCTTTTTCTCGACACATGTCTGCATATCAAATGTTCGGATCATTTTGTATGGTCGATAATCATGATCGGTGAATATGTGAAATAGGACCGAGCTACGTGAAACCTGATGGCGAGATATCATAGAAACACTTCAAAGTGACCGTTCAGAATAAGGATGAGCACACAGCAACAGCACACAGCACTGGAGCAGTCCAAGAGCGATCTCGGTCAGACATAACCCAGCCAGGCCAGCACCATCCCCCCACCCGCCCCGCCTCCCCATCACCCATCTCCCCTCCTCATGGGCATTAAGAGCCAAGGAGGATAGCCAGAAGGGCCCTGTCGGTCAAGCTCCGCTGCCCATTACTTCACAACAGGCTACCTGAGCTAATTTCACCCTCCAGCAAACAGAGGAGACGGCCCCTAAATAAGGCAGGGATTGCCTCGTCTCCCGGAGTCCGGGGAAGGACCAGGGGTGATAAGGCTGACAGTTTTACAAGGCAGAGAGTTATGGTGCAAAGGAGTGTGCATCTTGTGTAGAGCGCTCATGACTGCTTTTGTATCTGCGCGTTCGGTAATAGAACAAAGAATAACAGGGGTAAAATACAAAAAAAAGAGGCCATGGAAGAGAAGGAAGCCCTCACACCGCTCAAACCAGCAAACGCGAGGTGTCATGGCTCCTTCATGTGTTATTTATTTGCTTTGTTAAAAGTTTGGCAGGAACTCTTATCTGAAACTATAAAAGTTGCAGCGAGTAATTCAGGATAATCCATTTATTCCATCTGCAAATCCGACCAAAATCCAAACTCGGGTAGTTTAATAGGCTTAACTATTTTACCTGAATGTTTTTTCAAAAAAAAATTCAAAATCTTGTTGGGATAAATTCAATGCATTACGAACTATAGATAAATTATATTAGAGCCTTACCGTGGCAAAGTAAACACTATCCAGTGACTTTGTGTATCACTACAATTTACCTGCTCCCATAAAGCTGCAACTAGTCCTTTATACTTTTATAAAATCTTTCTAGAACTCTTTCTACCTCTACTACAAAGTCCACATTACCCAAACACCCTGTAATGTACCAAACATGCAAAAAACCAAACAAAAAAAAAACAGGATATTCGAACACACAGGGCACAGTAACATTCATAATCACACAACGGAATGGAAAAGCACACGCTCTAATCCTCCACAAAAACAAACAAGCGAGTGACTATGTATACAGTATTCATAATTACAATAATAACATGGTCATGGCTCTCTCCTGGATGCCTCCAACCAAAGCAGGAAAGCATGTCACAGTAAATGTCTTTATAATTGGTCTGGCACAGAACAAGGGACCCTCCACATCACTGAAGCATGGTAAGGGGGGGAACAGTAAATTGACTTGGTAATGAAAAGTCTACAGGAGACCATTCTGGCAGGGAACACACTTCCCTGTTTTCACTTCAGTGTCCAGCCCATGGAAGAAGTCATCTGCAAGTTTTACCTTTCACTGCCATGTCCTCCCTCTCCCCCCTCCCTCCCTCTCTCTCTCTCTCTCTCCCCCTCTCTCTCTGTTGCTCTCTCTCTGCATTTCTCCCCACTGTGATGTCTGCACCCACAGGGTCCTGATTTCAGACTGTAGCTGTGCCATCAAAATATCTGCAAATAGCTGTGCTTTTGAACAGTATGGCTGTTCTTCCATGTCATTGGTCTTGAGCTTATAATTCGGACAGTTGCTGTGCCAGGTTTTCAGTTAAAAAAACTGAGTTTGGTTGAATGATGGACAATGCTCAGGTCTATGGTGTCTGATTTAATCTGGGTCTGTATAATTTAAAGTGTTTTTTCTTATAAACAGAGGTTGCTGCCAAGAGGTCACTCAAAGAACCCACAGTAATCCCGGTAGTATTCTAGTTGCCAATCAAAGGAAAACGTGCAGTCAGTATTTTTTCTAATTATTTCTGTCTGCTTTTAGTTTACACCTGGGAGGTGCTGTGCATAGCAAGTCTTTGCATTAAAAACATTTTCTCAAAACCTGTACAGAAAGGTTAATCAGAATCTAATTAAGAAGACTGTCCACCAAGTACAGAAAAAACATACTAGCCATTCTTAGTGTGTTTGAAATGGTAAAATGCTTGTTATGGACATCTATACAGAGAATATTGTGATAGGAGGATAACTGCAGGGAGTACAGAATAACAACTACATAACTACAATAATTTATACAAATAATTTTTATTGGTTGTTTTGTTTATGATCTTGCTAGTCAATTTACTAATTGTCTAAATTGTAGCAAATGCAATGAGCTGGCAAAATAAGTTTCCATTGTTGACAGTTCGAGAAAGGAGACTGATATTTTCCAAATCTGAACTTAATACAAACTACAGTTACAGGGATACAGCTTAGTTTCTCACTCTTAGCTGACATCACAGTCTATTATAACAGAATCCTGCCTCACTGGAACTCTGTGAAAGTAGCTGCTTCTATCTCTCCTAAGAGATCTCATTTGGCAGGCAGCAATCGACTTAACTGTAAACTGTATTTGCTTGTGAGTTGAATCTCAAAATAATTGAATGGTGCCATTTTGCTTTGTATAAGTACATTTTTAAAGCACCTGCTTGGAAATAGATTGCATTTGAAGGTTGTTCATTTTTTATCTGCATTTGGAGGATTATGGGTAAATTATGTTTTCAGTAGGACTGTGTGGATCCCAATATTCATGCTAACCTCCCAAGCCTATGCAAAAGATAAAGCTAAGCTACCTCAGAACACCTTGTAGCTCCTGTTATCTGCCACAGACAGGGAAGTATCATGCCAGTATTGATTATAAAATGGATTTGTTATCATTGTTTAACTTAATCCTATTATGGCAATTAACTACAGGCTGTAAAACAATTTCAGAATACATCATGCTGATCAGTGATTAAATACGTTGTAGGGCACACATTACATTACCATTTCATATTTACAAATAGCATAATGAGAAGATGAAGATAACCTTGAGAGGGCCTGTGATGTTATTTACGAGCGCCGATGGCCAATGGTAATTGCACATCGATTGGGGCCCCCGGACGATGGACCGGAGAGAGGCTGTCTCTCCCAGCACAGATAATGCCATTACAATGAGTGATACGGCCTATATCACTGTACCTGGGACCATTATCTGCATCCATAACTGCACAAAGGGTGCGCAAGAAAAGCAAAATGACAGCACTTTCCGAACAATCACTCTTATTAAATGATGGGTCTGTCCCATGCTAGACTATACCCTGATAAATACTGTAATAAGCTGACCTCAGGACCGAGATGGGACTCTGGCTGGTGACAAATTGCACAGTGCTTGACTTGCTCACACTGTGACGCTCCCCGGCAAACAGGACACGGTCCGTCCCAAGCCGCACATCCATGCTGGTCCGAGAGACGAGGGAAAAGGCAAAACTGAACTCCACAAAACAGCCACCTGCTCCAGCAGCAACACATTACGTTCAGCAGAAGATCTTATCCAGAGCGGCTTCCATCCGTTACAACTTTTACAATATTATTCATTCATACAGTTGGATATTTTACTGAAGCAATTCTGGGTTAAGTGCCTTGCCCAAGGGTACAGCAACAGTGCCCCAGGGGGGAATCGAACCAGCAACCTTTCGGATATAAGCCCTGCTCCTTACCACTACACCACAGAGCCACCCAACACTTCCCGGAAAAGGCTCTCTTACTACTATAGTAACTGCATAGTATCAGTCGTTAAAGCTGTTTATCAGCCTCTGAAGAGAACAACTGCCAAGGATTTCAGCTCCATTAAAGAAAGGGAGTCATTGATCCTGATAGTGAATTAATGAAAGGTAACCTTAAAATGACAGGGCAGCAGCGGACTGAGAAGACATATGCTGGACATTAGTTTCCCCTGGTCATTAAATTACAGAGAGAATGTGTCAGTCGATGACAAAGCCAGACCATTTTCAGTTTAATGGACATTCATTAAAAATATATATATTTCCTGCGCTGTTCAATAGTACCATCCTGAAGGATTATATGTTTATATATCATCACCTGGACGTAAACAATATTTGCTCTCTTCAAGGTTCAAGGTTGCGCTCTTTCAATTTATTATAACAATATGTTGTTATAGCAAAGTACAACCCAGAGGTTTGGATGATTTACAGTTATAGAAATTGAGCAAACAATAACATTTTTAATGAAAAACTGACAGGTAACTTTTCACCATTTGCTGCTTACAGCCTGTCTGAGACAACTTTTTGTCATTCATTGGAATCAGTTTTTTTTTTTTTTTTTAATTATTTGTCCTGTATGACAGACAGACAATACAGTAAATGATCTTTTGCTTTAAATACAATGATGCTTTGAAAACAGCCTGGGAAATTTAAAATAGAATTATTGATTCATATCTCTAATTGACTGAGTGATATGTCCTGCTGAGAGATTGAAAAAACATTCCTTGTCACTTCAGATATACAGCCTATGATCATAGTAGTGTTCCATTTTACAGAGGTTGGGTAATTATCAGTTTATATATTATATATATGTATGTGTGAATATGTAAATATTTTTGTAATTATAATCTCAGAAAGATTTGAACCCATTGATCCCCAGAGGAATTATTGTACTGTCCACTGATTTAAGTTTTTAAAAACTTTGCTGTTGTGCATGCAGCTTTGTAGCTACTTTGCAATTACTTCAGTAACAATAGGTTACTGCATTGTTGCATTGTTAATAATCATTGCATAAATATATAAATGTAGTTACACTGTGTAGCAGCATCTTGTGTGTCTTGCTTATTTGTTATGTCTGTAGTTATCAGGCTGAGTAATTACACTTTTGTTACCCCTGCTGTATTACTATGGTGGAACCTGAAACCAAAATGTTACTGAAGTGTTATTAAAAACATAAATTTGAGTCCTTCAGTCACAGACTGGTATAAAATCATTTATGTAGGCCTAAATTAAATGCAGGTCCCCTTGATAATATGTGCAACTCCTTGGCCATGGGATAACATATACTTCTAACTCCATGCTCTGAATTTCTGACAACAGATAAAAGCATTTTTGCATTTTGCTGTAACATTGGGCATTTTCTTCCAAAAAATGACCACTGAACAAGTGTCCAATTACACGATACTTGTGTAGTGTTTAGATCAGGGTTGTCATCAGTGTAATAGTTTTTCAGTGAAAAACGGGAATGTAATAATTAGCAACCCATAGCATGTTTGTACTCTGCACAGCTGTACAGTCTGAAATCACTGAAGTGAATGACAACCATTCAGAGCAGGAAAAGACTTCCCTCTCATCATGGGCCAGTAATGATACAGAGGTATTTTTATAAACTGTGTCTCACAAAATATGTCTCTCTGTGAACAGAAGACAAATGGAGAAAATCAGAGCCATACATTACATTCATCATCATTGGAAAAGACGGCATGAAAAAGAGACTGTGAAAAACACAGTGCACACTGCAGGCAACGGCTCTGCGATAGCTGCAGGAAAATAAGCTGAAGAAATCAGCGCGTCCCACACATCATACCTGTGTAAAAATGTGCAGCATCTGCGCCATGGATTCCTTCTGACTCAACCGTTGTTGCTCACCTCCTGTCCCCCCCGGTCTTGCAGAGATATTACTTTTGCATTTCAGGTCAAAAGCTGATGGAAAAGGCTTTCTTGCTTGACAGGGCTTGTAGTCAGGTGATTAAATGAAGTGCCCAGAGAGATGAGCCGGTGCTTGATGCGTGGTGACTACAAACGCCTCAGTCTGACTGACAGCCGCACAGGCTGATTGAGGAGGTCAGGACGAAACGGTTCCCTTTGATCTCTCAATCTCAGAACTTTGTTTTTCTTTTCTCCGGCGCCGAGACTTAAAAAGGCGGTGAAAATGCATTTGCAACAGCACTTTCCACTAAAAATGTACAAAGGCACATCCATACACCGAAATAATGAAGAGACTTCTGCCTCCAGCTATGCAGAATACTATATCAAAGGTAAAAGGATACGGTCCGTGGTGGATATTCCATTCATTTATTTTATTTCTAAATATATTCAGATTGACATTTAAAAAATAGAGGCACATAGCTTGGCATTACAAAAAAGAAACCCACTTGCATATATACACATCTGGTTATAAATACTTGTTTCAATACAATGTTTCATGCAATATCTGCAGGGAAGCACAAGCAAAGCCAAACGTTTAGAGGTTACTCACTGAAACGAATGGTAAAAATCCATGGAAGGTCAGTATGAAAGGATTGCCTCATTTCACTTCTCAATAAATATAAAATGATCCACAAATAAAACTGTAGAGAATATGGAGATATTGGTGGTGAATATGAAGGGTTTTTTCCCAACATAGTCTGCGATGTGAAATCTTGGCCTTCAGAAATTCCAGATAAATTGCAAATGCAAATCAGATATTCTACATCTGTAAACAAACAAACAAATATAACTGTCATATTACCGCAAACAAACTGGCCAAGCACTGTTCCAAAGCAGTACAACCAAATGTCTCCTGAATTCTTTGCAGAACTTGTCCCGTTTTCTTCCCCCCTTTACCACGCGAGGGCAAGGTAATGAACAGCCTGCCGTGTATAAAAGTTAAAGACTCGCTTCCTGTCTTTAGAAGAGTTTCATTCAATTTGTTTAATTTGACAGAAGGTTAAGCTCTATGTTTGTTTACCATTTTCAAAGCAGTCATCAGGCACAGTTGTGGGATGACACCCTGAAGAGAAACATCTATAAATACTGAATACATTTGCTAGGAAGAAATTTTGATTTTATCTGTCCAAAGTGGGAAAAAAAGAATACTGGCAAGCTTAATTACTATATAATTACAACTTGAGACAGAGTTTCTAATCACTGAGACGACATGATGATAATGAGCTATAAAGACACTTGCACACAAAGTTCACGCAACATTGTACTTTTGTGATTTAGACACAGTAAGCAACACATACAATATTTGTGCAGATGACAGATGTCACATCACTGCAAAGCAGCGTTTTCAGGAGACTCATTTACAACATTCACACAAAATTAAAGTCACATGGTGGTACGGCATTTTTCAGAATTTAGCAGATTTTAAATACCGAAACTGGATTCAGTTTATAAAGATCTCATTTTAACCTTTTACCCAGAAAATAGGCAACTGAGACCTCACAATTTATCAGTATAGTAATGATCTAATTATCTATAGACCTGGTAACAATCAATAAAAACATGCGTTATGTTACATTAAATGTCTGTGAATCTATGACAAAGAAACTACATGATTTATTTTAAACAAACATATGGTGGTGGATCTTCATCCAATTCTGAAGCTGTTTGCATTTGGAGATCGTTGCTTTGGGTAGCAAGGAGTATCTCAGGTCTATCTGGGGGAAACTATGACTATTGCTTGTTCATTTCAATGTTTACAATGTGTTGCAATCTAGCTACCCTGGTCTCAGGGCAAATTTGTTTTACTCAGCCCTAAAGGGAATTGCTGGAGTAATTGTGTGTTATGTGGCATGAGGCAGGTCCCCTAAAACAGGACAGCCAAGGTGTATTCAACAGCTTATCTCAGGCTAGCTCTGCCTTCTGGGCTTTACAGCTACTGGAGCTACTGTGGACACTTGTTTGACATTTAGTTTTGTTTAGCTTTATTAAAAATGATGGCACAATGACGACAGTCACCCTCCCGGCTTTAGGGAGCTGATTCAGAACAGGTTTCTCCGAAATGGCAACTCTCAGCTAAACAAACTGCATAATAAAATGACCTAACAGGTTCTGGTGGCTGTAGGGGCCTGGACGGAGCTGGCCCCAGAGGAGATCCCAAGAGTCAATCAGTCGGTGTGCTCACCTTGGCTGTCGTGGATGGGGAGGTTGGCCTTGTGTCCCTTTTGGATTTGTTTGTTTTGCTTTCTAACACTCACACACAACATTCAGTTAGCTTATGCTACCAATTTCCTTTTACTGCCATTTATTGTAGTTTTATTTTGAGCCGGGCATGTGCAAGTAGTGGTAACATAGATTAAATAGAGTAGTATATACAAGTATGTACAAAAGTAGCAGACACCGTCTAGAGCTACAGATGAAAGAACATCAGATACAATGTGACATTTATTTGAGACAACTCACCACAGAGTGTAAAAGAGCTGGAATACCCAGGCCAAACAGTGTGGTGACAGATGCCCTCTGACTGCCCACCTTCAAAGTGCGAATGCCATTTCTCAGCTGCCCACGCCAAGATCTGGCAGAGGGTACATTCTTACTGCAGACTGAAAGAGACTAAAGTTAAAAAAAAAAAAAAAAAAGTAAAGCAAAGTACCTTGCATATATGTGAACACTGGAAATAATATCAATGCTGGGATGTGCAAAGATGGCTTAGAGCTCAGCTGTGACATCTTTAACATACAGATACTTCACCTCCACTTACAATTTTTCAAAGGTGCTTATCTCTGTGAATATGAAGATAAAATGGTGGTGCCATCTGACTAATCCCAAGAAAATCTGTATATTTTTCAAACACCTGGGAGAGGTTTGTGTGGCCTACAGTTTGTTTCTGTCAGTTCAGATAACCCACATTTAACGGAACACAAGCGAGACTCATGATGTCTCATTAGCAAGGTGGCTCAGTATCTGCGTGAAATCCATTTTTTAGCAATTGCTGAAAAGGAAATCCTCCATGTCTGCCCGATGCTGT